AAATCTTTCCCAGTCCCCGATCTGACGACACCGAACATGCGGTTCTTGTCGACTGAGCAAGCGCTTGCCGAGGTTGATTACTTTGCCCGAAATGTGCAATTCGAGGGCATCGATGCGGATTTGACTGCGCCGAACACCCCATGGGTTGTTTACGGTGGTTCATACGCTGGAGCTCAAGCTGCATTCTTGCGAGTTGTATACCCAGAGACTTTCTGGGGCGCAATCTCTTCTTCAGGTGTAACTGTTGCGATCTACGACTACTGGCAGTACTTTGAGCCAGCTAGGCTATACGGTCCTCCAGACTGCATGAAGAACACGCAACTTCTAATTGATGTTGTTGATGGCATTCTCATCCGCCAGAACGACACCTCCAAGGTTCAGGCACTCAAAGATGTCTTCGGCATGGGCGGTGTTACCGACAACCGTGATTTCGCCGGCCAGATTACCGGTGTGTACGGTCTGCAAAGCACCAACTGGGACCCTGAGGAGAACTCGCCCTCTTGGTTCAACTACTGCCAGAACATTACGGCAGAAGAGCCTGCAGGCGAGAACCTACGCCCAGCGGTTGCGGAACTCGTTTCGGCGGCCGGCTACACCAACGACACCGCCGTGCAGAACATCACCCTCAACGCTATTGCTTGGCTCAACAGCACAGCTCTCTCTGGATGGCGCCGTTCGAATAGAACTCAGGACTCGTACTTCACCCAGCTCAACGTTACCGCGCTCCAGCAATACACCTCTATCGAAGACTACGGCGCTGTAAGCTGGAGCTACCAAGTCTGCACAGAGTGGGGTTACATCCAAACCGGAAACACACCTGCTGACATCATGCCCCTGATCTCCCGCACTCTCGATGTTGAGTACTTGACCTTCTTCTGCCGCGCACAATTCGGCATTAACCATCCTCCGGAGATTGAGCGTGTCAACAAGTACGGAGGCTACGACATCGACTACGAGCGTCTTGCCCACCTCGGAGGTAACGCGGATCCGTGGAGGCCTGCTACCCCACTGTGGTACCCTGATAGCAGGAACAGCACGACGGAGCGCCCATGGCATCTGATCAGCCACGGTGTGCACCACTGGGAGGAGAATGGTATCTTTGAGAACCAGACAACTCCCGATCTGCCACCACCGCAGGTCGTCTACGCGCAGCAGTTCTTGAAGAACTTTGTTGTTGACTGGCTCGAGGGTAAGTCTTTGAAACTACACCGATTTGTCTGATCTATCTGCTAACGATATGTAGAGTTCGAGAACCAGAAGGAACACATGGAACTGCGCTAAGCCTGAGAGGCCCTCGCTGTTCAGACCGATGAATAGCTCACCGTCTCGCTTGACCTAGAGGCCTAGCGAGTAGGTCCCTCACTAGCAATAAAACATATCAATCCTCACAAACATCTGCTGTCACCCAAATTCATGAGATGCAAAATGCGTGTTATGCTGAGGCCATTGAAAATGATGTGATTAGAAATGTGGGCCTATCGACCGCTAACTATGCCCATACAAACCTGCTCGACTTCCCCGTCTCTCTTCTCCCTTTCCAACCACCCTACGCCACAGTATTCTGAATCCACCCCTGCCCCTCACTCTCCACAACCTCACCACCCGTCGTCTCCCCCACCCTCACAGTAACATTAAACCCCGTAACCGTCGCACCCCCACTAGCCCCATACAACGAATAAATCCCCGCATTCAACAAAACATCTTTCCCCTGATACGCCTCCATCGCCAATCCCGCGGGCACAGTCGCGGTAATAGTAACATTTTCCTGCCCCTGGTTGCTCTTCTCAGGACCGAGGTATGCGGATTGTGTAAAGGAGCCGAGCGTGCCCGGGTAGCCGGGGGCGAGCGAGAAACCCCATGCGACGGAGATGTCGGCGACGGATTGGATGTAGCCTTCTGAGAGGAGGGTGAGTGTGAAGGTGCTGTTGGGGGCGAGGGTGGAGGGCGCGGCGATGCCGATGAGGCGGCTGGAGGCGAGGGTCGCGGATGTGAGGGCTGTTGTGAGGGTGGAGAAACGCATTTTGGTGGGTGGTGATTAGGTGGACGTCGGAGTGTGGTAATGCGTGATATTCGGTGAGGGAGTATTAAATATTTGGGTTTGGCCGGTTGAGGTTGTTGAACGTGGAGTTGACGGATAGCTTATATACCTCCTCCCTCTCCGCTACTTATAATAGCAAAGCATCTACCGAACGCGGACCGATACTACTGAAAGCTCCCACCATCTCATATCGCATCATACCACGCAGCGTCACCTTTCTCCACAAAAGCTCTGGTGTCGGAAGATTGTTTTGCAGTCATCTTGGTCATGGGCTCATGCAGATCTCCCGGCGCAGCCACGGCGACCACTCGGGCGGTGTGTAAACTGCCGATCCCTTTGACGTGATCACTATTTTGAGCTCAATACGAGGCTGGTAGAGCCGTAGGTTCCGAATTGTTGTACGAACAAGATGGTGGTTTTGGGAGAGGATACGTCATGCCGAGTAGTGGAAGCGGAGAGGACGTGGTGGAGCTCGTAAAGGTGGCGGAAATAACGTCATTTCAACTGATGACAGGACACCCCCTTTCGTCACGATACGAATTCGTATTGTCGAACTGTTGCATTGGCGACCACACACCTTTACGGTGCTGCCATCCTAGCTTATGGAGACCTGTAGGAATTTAGAATAGACTGCTCCGCTATTGCTATGGAAACTACGCTATTTAACAATCATGGAGAAGAGAAATATCTAAACCGGCTGCTTTAGATCTTGTAATTCTTGCCATAGACCTCTTTCTGGCTCGTTGCAGGCTTCCACTCAAAGTGGTGCTTGCCCTCCATTGGCTTCTTGACATTCGCGTCTGTATCACCCTTCTTGTCGAACATGTGGCTACCAAAGTAGTCAAGCTCGGCTTCGTAGAATGACGTGGGCAGGTCGGTACCGCTAGCGACCTTGAAGTACTCCAGGGTAGCACTGATGGCAGGTGCAACTTGGTCGGTTTCCACAGCCTTGGCGACTATGCGACGAAGTGCAGGGAAACAGTTCTTGACGTCTTTGGCCACGCGAGTCGAGAAGTTTAGGTTCAGCTTATCCGGAGATGGGTTGGATTTGAGGATCGGCGCAAGGATCTCATCGGAGATGTAGTCTGCTTGGATAATACATCCTCCGCGCCAGATCTGCCAAACTTGCGAGTAGTCAATTTCCCATTTGTTCTCTTGGTCTGCTTTGGCAATGACATTCATGCCTTGGATGTAGCTCGCGAGGCATGACGCATATGTTGCCTTTCTGAGATCTTCGAGGAAAGCCTTCTTGTCCGTGATGTTCAGTTGACTAGGAGGGAAGCCTCCATCGGCGGCTTTGCTGGCTTGCTCACGATCACCGCGGAAAGCGGATGCGAGGCGGAACGCATGCGAAATATTGAGAGTGAACGCTGGGACGTGACGCTCGATGGCTTCTGTGTTGCTCCAGACACCAGTACCTTCTTCACCCGTAACATCCTGCACCACCTTGTCGAGGACTTCCGAAATGACAAGAGGAGGTAATTGGGTATCTTTCTGGTTTGCTTGGTTGGGCTTATCGCTCGAGTCGCGTTTGTGGGATAGATCTGCGCCGATGGAAACGAGGAAAGTGCCGCGCTATTCGCAAGTCAGTTCAGTAAATTCATAATGTCTTGAGTTGTGAACATACCAGCTCGCCTTCTGAGTTCCACTTAGAAAGAACATCGCCAATCTCCTCATAGTCCATACCCATCTTTCGCATGATGCCCCAGGCCTCACAGATAGCGCTCATCATGCCATGCTCGATACCGTTGTGCATCATCTTCACGTAATGTCCTGCTCCACCCTTGCCGATGACACCCACGCAAGGTTTCTCGTCTTTGTCTTTGGCTGCGACCTTCTCCAGCAACGGAAGGACTTCTTTGAGCGCAGAGATGTCACCGCCAGGACACATGGAAGGTCCGGCTCTCGCTGCCTGGTATCCGCCACTTACACCGCAGCCAATGTACCGGATGCCAGTGCCCTTGCACTTCTCCTGTCGCCGCTCGGTGTTCTGGAAGTGTTCGTTTCCGCAGTCTAGGATGATGTCGTCGCGGGCGAGATGTGGCTCCAGACCTTCAAGAACTTTGTCGCCGACGCCGCCATGTGGGAGAGAGAAGACCAGTAAGCGTGGTGTGGAGAGTGACTTGCAGAGGGAATCGTAGTCTGTTACTGCATTAGTCTTGGTGTGCATCACCGTCCCAGGATTCCGCCTACCATTGAATTTTTGAACCTTGCCGTTGTAGCCTTGCTTCTCAGCCTTCTCAATGACTGCATCCATCGCCTGCTCTGAAGGGTCTGAAAGCGAAACATTGACACCGTCCTCGGCGAAAAGCAGGGCCATTCCACCGCCCATGCTTCCGCATCCGATCATGGCGATCTAACATAATCAGTTTTGTTAGGAATTACATGAAGAACTGGACATACATTTGTGAACTTGGACATGATGTTAGTTGAGGTTCTCCTCTTCGTGTCGCGAACGGAAAGATATCAAAAGCGAGCAGCCTAGGATGACAATGTACAAGTATGTGAGGGAGGAGAAAGACGGGAGCGTCGGATCGGCGTAGTGTACGAGATTGTCGAGAAACTGGAGCATGATGAAAGGCGCGGGTCAAGGGCGTGTCATATAACAATTGAGTGACGTCGGCGGGGGTGTAGCTGGACCTAGCTCACTGCTAGAGAAGAATGGCTGGACGGTGGCCCTTTTATCTGCTTCTTTCCGACTGTGCCGTGAGGGGTGGGGTCGTCAGCCATGATGTATGCAGGAAGCAGGTACTGCATGTAAGCGTCGGACTTGGGGCCAGACACAGGGCAGGCGCGTTGAGAGAGAGAGCGCACTTGGGTCGCGTACCTTGGGATGGAGCCGCTCTTCCACTAGCGCGAACCGCCTCGACTACGGAAACATTTGGCGACACCGAGAGCTCAACACCGCCCTCACCACGATATCCACTCCACACCACTCACCGACCAATTACATTCCGCAGCCATGGCCGACACCACAGAAACCATGGACATTGACCAGCCCGACGTCGCGACTGACGCCAAGCCGACCGACAGCAACGACGCGCGCACCCAGGCCGGCGCGACAGCTGTGCGCTCCATCGAAGGCTGGATCATCATTGTCACCAATGTGCACGAGGAATGTACCGAGGAGGATCTCCAGGACATGTTTGGCGAGTTCGGTACGATCAAGAATCTGCACATGAACTTGGACAGGAGGACGGGTTACGTCAAGGTATGCGCCTGAAATGGGTGGTTATGACGAGGAGGGAAAGAGCGACGGAGGACTGACACCACACAGGGCTACGTGCTCATCGAGTATGCCACTCTGGAAGAAGCGAACGCCGCTATCAAGGGCGCCAACGGCGAAGAGCTCCTCGAGCAAAAGGTTACCGTCGACTTCGCCTTTGTACGACCACCGCCAGCCAGCAAAGGACGGGCGCGCGACCACGACAGGCGCCAAAGCGGACGCGGGGCTGGAAGGGCCAGGAGCAGGAGTCCTGGACGTGACGGAGACGATATGGACGACGAGTAATTCTTAGGCGGAAATGACAATCAAGCCGCTTGGTTGGTTAAAGATGCTCTCGTACGTACCACGGAGAACAGAAGGGTATGGTTCAAGAAGCTCAGCATCTGCTGCGCTCGCCATTCAGAGCTGTCTCGCAATACTAGCACACCGGCTTACCTCTGTGTGGGGTAGGTCGGGCTTCGACTTGATCACTGTAAGTGCACAACTACTACGACATACATTGGCCTGGACTAATCCATCTACAGACTATATTGCCTGTGTTTGACAAATACGTGACCACATCGTCTCGCCGCTCGGGTAGAACAGCCACGACGCATCCGATCTACACGGCGTCTTTTGAAGCGGGCCTACCCATGGCCGACCGCGCCTGCGCATGCTTCGGGCTCTCCACTTCAACGTTCTTCGTGTACCCGGCCCTCAACTCTAGCTACCAGGAACTTCCTAGTACTATCACACCTCACAAGCTCGCAGATCGTGAGTAGCTCGCCTCATACTACCGGGCGTCTGCACTACGAGAACCACGAAGCCACTGGTCTACGGGAGACCAGAACACCTTGTAGCACGCGAAACATAGTATAGCTTGCCTGCTCGCACTCTCCGAATCTTCTCTCTCTATCTCCATTCCTCACTCAGAATCACAACATACTCCTTTCCATCTCCTCCCTCACCCACCTACAGCGAGCCGAGATGTCTACAATTCCAACGATACCTAAAAAAAGGTATAAGATCATCTCCTGGTGGATGCACGACAGCATCCGTAAATCTTCATCAAAACCTACTCAAAACTCAAGCACAACCTTCCCCACAGCTTTTCCCCCCTCAATAATCCCATGCGCCTCTCTAACCCCTTCCTCGTCCATCTTCAACCTCTGTCTACAATGACACCTCACAATCCCTTGATCCAGCAACCCCGCCAACTCCTCCAGTATCCGCCCATGACTTTCAACATCAACACCATAATACGGTTTCGTGCCCAGCAACGCCCACACAAACGTCAGACTCTTTGCCATGAACTCCGTGCCGTACATGGGCATCTCTTTGTCTTGGACAATAGAGCAAACTTTTCCGAAAGGAGCGCAGATTTTGGCGGCGGGGGCGAGGTAGCCGGACGTGGGTGTGTGCGTAATGAAGATGTATTTGATCGGTACATCCAGCTTCAGCTTCACCACTTCTTCCGCGAGGTCGTTATGGTGGTTGATCGTATGTGTAGCACCTCCTACGTCTTTTGAGAAAGCGATTGTCTCTTCTCTAGACGCCGTGGTGACTACAACGGGTAGATCGAGTACCCGACGCGCAATCTGACTCGCCACACTGCCTACACCTCCTGCGCCGTTGATGATCAAGATGCCAGCCTTTTCACCCTTTCGTATCTCCATCCGCTCGACTAGCGCTTCGTAAGCCGTGATCCACGTCAACGGCATAGCAGCAGCCTCTCCCCAACCCAAACTCTTTGGCTTGAGCGCCACGGCTCGCGAATCGACTAATTGGTACTCGGCATTGCTGCCTTGACGGATTGGGGAACCGGCGTAGTAGACTTCGTCGCCGGGTTTGAAATTCTGGACGGAAGATCCGACGCTTTCGATTATGCCGGCGCCGTCGAAACCGAGGATTTGCGGGAGTGCAGGCGTGCGTGAAAAGTAATCTGGGTAGTCATCGTAGGTGCCGGCGCGGACTTTTGTGTCGACGGGGTTGACGGAGCAGGCGCGGAGGCGGACGAGGATGTCGTGGCCTTGAGGAGAAGAAGGTTTGGAGACGGCAATGGATTGCAGGTTTGTGATGGGGCCATATTCGGTGACTGCGATGGCGTGCATTTTGTCGTCAGATGTCATTATTTGCTATGGTTTACAGGAAGTTCTGTGTTACTGTGAGAATGCATCGTTCTGGTTGTGTTCATCTTTTATCTTGCGGTTTCTCTAGACTCCACTGTTTGGAGCATCGCACGTAAAGATGCCATCAGAGGTTGATGACGTCACGCATATGCTTCTACTTCGATATGAAGATGTCTGATGTCTCATTGTCAGCTTTGGTCGAGTTTTTCCCGACTTGATGAGTCGATGTATTAGTCGCGATGGGCACTTGACGTGGCGTGGCACGGCAGATGTACTGTGGTGTCTAGGAAGAATCTGTGCGCTGGGAGGACCCGATCTCGGGAGATAGTCCAACGGCTGTGACCGAGACTTATGCCGTGGCTTAGGCATCTGAAACCCGTGCAATTGGAGCAAGTAGCTAAGTAGTCGAGGCTGTCTGGATCCCTCAAGTAGGCGCCTGGGCTGTAATGTCGGCTAGCCACGCTCTAGTAAAAGGTACAAAGGTACTTTGGCACATGATCGAGAGTCGATGCAGGCCGGGGAGTACCGTCACATACGTGATGCACGGAAAGAGGGGTTGCCTGCCGTAGACGCAGGCTGGGACGAGAGGAGGTGTAGTGCAGAAAAGCGTTGTGTTCCGTGGGGATGACTGGTGGGATCGGAGACTTAACCCTGCGATGGAGCGAATGAGCTCATGGTGAAGCATTAGCTGATACGACCGTCTCCAACCACAGCGCCTTCCCATAGTAATACCCGTAGTGATAATTGTTGCTTTTGTCGATAGAGAGTCGCCACCACAGCATCTTCCCGTTTTTCCAAGGACCGCTCCAGGAGAGAGATTCTTTAGACCATTTGGACCCCAAGCCGCTACCTCGCCGTCGCCCGAAGCTTGGAAAGCCACCAATTCGGCGCGCATCGATTATTGCGCAGTGACCTGCTCCTTCCGCACACCACCCTCCCGTCTCCAAATTCGCTGCCCTCGCCCTATCGCACCGCCGTATCTTGTTCGCTGGATCCGAAGCCGCCCTGAAATATCGTGACAGTCGAGTCTCCATCGTGCGCCCGCTTAATCGCATCGTGAACGGTTCTCTTGGCACTGCAATCCCGAGGCTACCTGCGTCACTACCCACCGCCCTGCGCCCACGGCAGCCTGCATACCTCTTGAGCGCTGCGACCGGTGGATAGCGACATCAGCGTCGCATGTAGAAGAACACTGCTGTCTTGCGCTCGCGGGTCATGGCTTCTTCTTAACCGCAGGAAGAGCCACCTTGCACCGGTACACGGGCCAGCAGCGATAGGGACGGCAGACGGGGATAGAGTTTCGAGTGCGCCTTCACGCAGAGGCGCCTGGCCACCATGTCACAACCTCAGTCCGACGTCTATGCCATGCTCGAATCATCCTTCAAGGCCTCGCCGAATCTCCGCCAGCCGAAACACCTGCCGCGCCGTAGCGACGACTACCGCACCTACTCGAGAGCTGCAGCGCCCCTTAAGCGCGACTATTCCTATACTACACAGGCGACCGACGACACGGATTCGATAGCCGACAGCGAGCACAATACACCGCTTCAATCTCCAGGCGCATTGCCGGGAGCTGACAGCGGCCTCCCGCCTACTCCGCCCACAGCTTCCCAGGACGGCAGAACTGCACAGATGCCCGAGCAACCGTTGCATGCCGATAGCGTAAGGAACTCGATTATATCGCAGAAATCGTCTCTCAGTACGCCCGTCAATGCGCGCAGTCCTCCCACGCCCGATCCCAGTCCACCGCGAACCAACGCCTCCAACGGCACCAATGGCACGACTGCCACGCTCGAACGGCCGCCGATATACACATATCCCTCTTCGCGCGCGGATTCCTTTCAGACCGCCAGAGAGGACCCTTTCTCCTCGGACCGCGAAGACAGCAGAGCCGCAACACCTGCCAACGATAGGCTGAGCACCGTCGAGGAAGACCGCGGACTGGGCCTGGCTTTCGAGCACGACCAGCATGATGTCACGCCCACGAACAAGCAAGGCCCGTACTTCCCCACTACTGAACTGGTGGACTCAACGGTCGGTGCTGAAGAGGACAAGGGATCCCAGGTGGTCGAGGATATCCCAGATCGGGAGTGGAACACAGACCTCATGCGGAACGTAACAGTTCGCAGAAAACGCAGAACGCCCTCCAGTACGCCTCGCAAGTCATCGGCTCCAGCGCGTATTCCGTCACCCGTCGCAAAGCCCGTCGAAGAACCCGCGCCCGCCGTCACCGTCGTCGAAGCCGCCTCGCCGACCCCAAGCACCCGAGCCCGACGCGCTTCCAGTCTGCGCGAACGCGTCGAAGCCAGCCACAACAGTCCCGTCACGCCCTCCATCGAGAACTTTGCGCATTCAATTGGCTGGCCCTCGGAGGGCAGAGGCATGTCGGGCGAGAGGCAGCGCGATAATACCAACAAGCGACTTTCCACCGCATCCGTGGCCTCGACGGTCGTGTCGGCGCACGTTATCCTCACTCCACCGCGACGAAACCCAACACTGCGACACTCTGGGCGGAACATGGCATACAGGAGAGACTACAGTTCACCTGCGAACCTCGGCTCTGAGACCCACTCAAACCGCAACTCAATGATCTCGCAGTACGACGACATGCCGCCCCATCGCCTGGTGCACAAGAGGACGAACATTGCCGACAGGAGTGCGAGGTTCAGCACCAATTCCGATGTCGGTTCTTCGCGTATCATGTCCCCGTCGCTGTCGTTGCGACAGAGGACTATCGATAGCTCGGCGCATACACTAGCCCATCAAGAGTCGATACGAAACGTACTTCAGCCAGCAGCGGACATAGTCAGTCGACACAGCACAGTCGCGCGATCAGGCGGTAGCTACCACAAGCGAGTCAACTCTGCGCCCGAAGCCACCAGGCGAACGCTGTCTTCGAAGCCAAGGAACTTTACAGAGCTGCGGCCCTCCGAAAGTCCTGCACCGATGGAGGATCCCGTCAAACGGATGTCTGTACGAGCACCATCACCTCCTGTGCCAGCACCCTCACCACCTGTTCGAGCACCGTCGCCGACACTATCGCCAAAGCCACGTCGGACGTCACCCACATCGCGCAAAAACAGAAGACAGTCACAAGTGGTTACCGATGTGAAGCTGCCGGCGAATCTCGAGAACACACTGCCTAATCTTCCCGATCAGGGCGTAGATGGGCCAGCCGAACGCGATGTCTTCATGGGTGCGAGCCATCCTGTTGAAGAGACCCGTGTGCCATCAGCGCTGACGGATAGAGTCCGCCAACTACTTGCGGCTCGTGAGACTGCAGAGTCAGCTACTCTTGTTGACTCTAAGCAGAACCCTGCTACATCTGAGAATCTGGAAAAGTTTTCACCGCTGAAAGACACTTCGCCTCATCTACGTCAGGGTGCAAGGCCAGTCTCATGGGCAAAGCGAGCATCTCTATCTCCCGAGATGGCAGTGCGTCCCATCTTGAAGGACCGTACATCGACGGACGAGGTGAAACGCCGCAGCAACGCATCGCGCCCTGATTCTGGAGACCATGGCCGCGTCAGTTTCGACCAATCCGCTTCTCGGTCTGCTTCGCGGACTGAGGAGCACGCCAATGCTCGGCACCTGTACTCTCAATCGACGCCATTCTCCCAGTTCTCTGACACGGTTGAAGTCACTGAGGCGACTGCTGTGAGCATCTACCCCCACAACAACCACTCCCTGCTCGTTGTACAGCAGTCACGGGGGAATTCGTTGTTACCAGAGCAGCGTCAAATAACTGGCAACACCTATCTCACACCGCAGGACGACCGTGAGGTGCGAAGTACACCCAGTCCGCCATTCGTAGAGGCACCTGAGGCATCTCAACAAGCTCGCGAGGAGGTTGACGAGCCCTACCCTCAGCCCACTCTGACCTTTGAGCCCTCAACGCCTCCAACGCAATTCGACCTGCCTCAACCTGATGGTGTAGAATCGCCTCTCAAGAACCCCCGAGACCCGCCGGAGCCTCCCATCATCAAGTTCATCCCTCCCACGCCCATGGAAGAACTCGAGAACCAACTGGTACCCCCGCCACCAGGACCACCGGAGCGCTCTGATTCGCACCCCCAGCGCCGACTGTCTGTCCTCCAGCGAGCGCGGCGATACTCCGACAACCTCATCACCCCTCTCTTCGGTCGCGCCTCCAACAACCGAACACGGTACGCCAGCGACCCATTTAAGCAGCACATCCACCGCAATCCCTCCGTCCCCAGTGTCAACGAAGAAGACGGCACCCTCCACCCCTTCTGGCGCCCCCGCGGCTTCTGGGACGGATTCGAAGACGGCGACTCAGAAGACGACTCGGACGAAGACAGCGGTCTCCCTTCCGGTGGCGACACAAGCGACATCGAAGACCCAGAGCCAGAACCCTTACCCTCGCGCCCCCGCCGCGGCAGCACCATCAGCAACAAGCTCAAAGGCGGTTTCCGCGGCAGCGGCGGCTTCCTCATCGGCAACTCCATGGGTCTCGAACGCGCAGACACGAACAAACGCCGCCACCACATCACCCTGCCTCCTCACTTCCGCACACCCCGTACGGCTCGTCACCTCGCCTCCCCCGACAAAGTCATAATCCAAGCCCCCACCGCACCTCTCGGCCGCCACCGCAGCGGCGGCATCTCCAAACGCCGCTCAAGCCACGACCTCCGCCGCACGAATTCCCTACCCGACAACGTCTCCACCGTGTCCATCGAGTACGAACAGAGTCGGCGTGGTAGGGGGTCCTGGCGCCAGGGCAAGAGTCTGCCCGGTCTAAAGAAATACCACGTCCAATACATTGGTATTTCAGGTGTCAAAGAGAAACTGAGGGAGCGGCGGACGGAGAAGAGGCGCGAGAAGATTCGCAGGAGTATTGGGAGTAGGTATTATGTTGATCCTGTTGGTACGGGGTCGGTGTGATACCTTCTTCTTCCTTTTTGACATCTTTTGATTTGCGAGCAGGGAGAGGAAACGGCGTTTCTGTCTCACCCTTTCTGTTTTCTGCGAGTAGTTGGATTCCCCCTTATTCTTTCGGCCCCCCTAGCACATATATATATTGCATATCACCCTTTCTCTTCCTTTTACGACGTCACGACTTGTTCTGCATTTTTGGCTATATACCTGGATAGGTTTGGGACTAGGGCATGGGGTTTTGCTGTTTCATTTTTTTATTCAGTTGGCTTGCATTTCAGTTTGGGAAGCGGATGTGAGCGTGAGAGCAATTTAGGAAACAGCTCAGTCGCTGCATCTGTATAGCATACTATCTATACACGTAATACATACTTCACACATTCACCAGCTCAGCATCAAGCAACTATCCAGTCGAGATATCCAACCGAATAAATCTGCTTCTTCATTTCAGACATCTGTATTTGACAGCGAACACACTCTGGTATATATCGAAACAACCGCTAACAAACATATGCCAACAATGCTTAGAAAGTCCTAACAAGCCAACACCCCGAATTCCCTACATGCCAATAGTGATATCTCGTGTCACAGTTTGCTCCGAAACGCCAAAACAAGAAAAGGGTGAAGGAGAAGCGCCTGTCTTCTTGGTCCAGAAGGGTGTGGAGTAGAAGAGAGAAGGAAGGAAATCGAGAAGCGAGCTTCGCGCCTGGTGGTGGGTGGTAACAAAGGAAAATGTCCATCCGTAGTATGGTGAAGGGTAGTGGTGGTGGTTATGCAAGCCAGCTAGTCTTCAAGTCCAGCAAGCTGGGAAGGGAAGTGAAGTTCTATATCTTCCTTCGGACAGTGAATTTGCGCTCCATGGTCGCAGCGGGTAGTGCTTCGGCGAAAGTATCGCGTGCTGTCATAATGTTAGCTTTCCAATAAAGCATAGATGATGCGAGGATGACTTACTCTCAGCAGAATCAAACATGATGAGAATATCATCATGTTCACCAGGATACTCAATCTCATCTAGACAAACAAATCGCCTCTTCGTGCCAGACCAACCCGTAAGTCTGCCCTCAGCCTTCTGAATCTTGCCCTCGCCCCTGCGTTCATCGACTGGAAGAGCGAATTTCGCGTCAACAAGCTTCAGACCGAACTGGCCATTCTTGTCGGTCTTTTGGAACGTATCGGTAAGGCGAAGTTGGAAATTCATGGCGTCGGCGTGGGAGAAGTCTTCGAAGAATGCGAGGAGTTGGATGATGTTGTCTTGTTCGACGATTTGCAGGCGGATTCGCGTGGCGGTCCATTGTTTGTAAATGGGGACGACCATGCGTCGGCGGGAGATGGAGAAAGAGTTCGCGAGACTGGGATAGTGTTAGCTGAATATTAATAGACACGGTCAGGAGGGTTGACATGCCCGTCAAATTTCACGTGGAAGCCGGTGACAGCTAACTGGAAGGTGTGCAGATCGTTGAAGGAGTTGAAGGTCAGTCGTCGGATTGTCGAGGCGCTTGTGAGTGTCTTCAGAAGCTTGGCTAGCTCGTCGGGGACAGCGGGGTCGGTTCGGCTGCTGTCGACAGCTACAGCCATGTCTTGTTGGGCTTCGCGGAGGAGTGTGAGTTCGGCGGCTCCGTCGACTGGGAGGCGGACTAGAAGTTCACCGGATCCTGGAAGTCGTTAGTATCGCATTATTCATCCGAGAAGACTCGACTTACCCAAGTTCATGCGGTCAGAGATGATACCGGCTGTGTGTCGACACATGATCCTCAAACTCTCACTCTTGACAGTAGGTGCTGACTCTAGTCCTGCAGCTTCTGGATCCAGGTTCATAACCTTGGCTTCCACCCACTGCAGCTTTTCCAGCACGCGACTACCCTGCGAAGTAAAGCCCTCTGACTGGTCCGCACTCTCAATGTGGAATGCTTTCAGTGCGACTTGAGCGAAGGTAGTCTCGCCTTCTGCGACATTCATGGACGTGAATGTACCAAAGAGGTCGTTTCGATCCCTGCCACTCTGGAAGACGAGGTGAGCTGCACATGTCCTCAGCTTCTTATCCGCACTCTCTTCACGGAATCGCAGTCTCAACGCCGGAGCTTGGTTAGCTTCGGTGACGTATTCGAAGTTCATGGGCTCCTGCTTTGTTCCGAGCTCATGGTTGATCAAGCTGACTTGCTTGGTTTGCTGCGGCGTGACCAGAACCATACGGTAACCTCGATGCAGTTTCCGCTTTCCTGTACCTTCACTACTTCGTTCGATCCTTTGGAACACCATCAGCTTGCAGCCTTGAATCCGATCGCCTGGCCATGCTGATGGGTTTGCAGGATCCCGGTAGCTCGCCTCCTGGAGGTACAATTTGCAAGCAAAGCGCTCGTCTCTCCGTTCTCGTAGGTCTGACTCGACTCGGTTCGTGTGGTTGACAATAGACCAGAGACTACGGAAGTCACTTTCGTGCAGCGCAAGTGTCAGAACGAATCCGTGCTTCAATTGAACAGTAAGTTGTGAAACCTGCTGCTTCCAGTTGACATCTTTCCAGCCAAGTACTGATTCTGAGCCCACCAGAAGGTTGATGAGGCTGTTTTGGCTGCAGATGGCCAACTTGACTTGATACTCGTCCTTAGACCGCATGACAGAAATAACAGCATCCATCGGAACGCGGTCGGTCGCAGGGTCATCGGTCGAGACCGAGGCTTTGACGAACATGCGGAAGTAGCAGAAGTCGGTCTTGGTGTCGGAAAGGGGTATGTACTGGGATAGACTAAACTGGCTGCCGTTAGGAGCAGGGAGCCCGGAGGTTAGCACGCTCGCTGCATCTGCGGGGAATGTCGGATACTCCTCCCATATCTTCTGGTCTTGTCCCTGGATAAGAGCTTGCGTTGGAGGCATGCTTTGATGCTTCTTCATCGACCCCACAAGCAATTTCAGGTAATGGGTAATCGCATTCTGTATGTCAAACACCTCCGCACTCGCAGGGTCTCCGGCTTGTCTTGCCATGTCGACTTGCGCATCAGGGGACGCGTTGCCATAACCCTGTAAGCTGGGATGGTTCGGAAGGACTTCAGAAATGATCCACCACACTTTGGCTAGGTCCACATGCGATTGAGCCAGTCGTTCTTGTATCGGTTCGGCAGACTTGGGTTGACTCCTGATCAGGTTCTCCATCCCAGTACGTCCTTTCAAGAACCACCAAGTAGCAACCCTGAGCCATTGCATCGGCGAATGACTATTGAGGTTGCCTCCGAGCTGAGCTGTCAGCTGGAAGATGCCTCTCATGTGCGTGATGCGCTCGGCAAAGTCCCGGTATGCGGAATCATTCGCAGATCTCGTATCGGAACGAGCGAGAGGAGCAGCGGGTTTGGCGCTGGTACTGGCACCAGATGCGTTTCGTGACGGCAACTGGCTGGGAGGTCCTGAGATGGCGAGAGGCTGGGGAAGTGAAGAAGGTTGCAGTTGAGGTTGAGCGGACGAGAAATAAGATGTACTCGGGGGAAGCTGGGGTGGAGTTGGGAGATTTGGGCTGTCGTCAAGGGCCCCGAAAAGGGCGTTCTCTTTGATAGAAGGAATCCGTTGAACGTTCGTATTGATAAAAGGATCCGACCGTGCAGCCGGAGAGGCGCGTGTCTGTGAGGGGGAAAATGCGACATATTGCGATCTAGACGCGGATGGTGGTGATTGCGCTCCCGGCCGTCCTGGGGAGGGCCCACGGGCTCTCGATCGTTCAGGATCCTCAGTGTCCAGTCTCATCCGAGGGGATCCCCTGGAATCCGACTGTGGTGTCTCGAGAGGTGTTCGGGCTGCGGCCGGTGTGGCATAAGAGGAAGGAGGTGTGCCCACGAGGGATTGCTGTGAGCTCGTCTCGGAGTCCCGCCTTTGACCCGAGGCTGCCCGCTGCGACGCCTCATGCAGTGTTCTGCCCTCTTCCGACCGCATCTTCTGTTTCACTCTCGCAGCGAACGAACTCGGCCCGTCATCTTCCTGCTCAGCCAAATGCCTTTCTGGCATCTTGGGCACTGAAGGTATCGCGTGCACCGGCGAGGGCAAATCGTCGTCACCCAGGGTACTGAAGCCAGTCTGCGTACGCTTAAGCGGCTTTGGCTGGAAGTCGTCCTCTTCTTGGATAGTGGGTTCGCGTACTGACATATTCCTCGACATGACAGGTGAGAGATTGTCCGAATCCTGGGAATACACAGAGTCCTCGCTGGTGCTGGGTCGCCTTCCGGGAGGGATTGAGATGGGCTCTGGTATTCCGTCAAAGCCAGTGGGCGCCCTGGTGAGGCCCTTTGGTCGGTCTCCCAAGCCCATAGATCCCATGTAGCGCGGTGGTGTGGGTGGCAGTTGCGTAGCATGGGTGTTGATCTGGCCCATCTGCATCTTCTGGCCGAGTGGTGGGGATAGCTCGCCGGGGTTCGTCCGCGTTCTCGTGAGGTTTGTCCTGTACTCAGTCTGCGAGGGGGTCCTGCCTATGCCATTGCTGCGCGCTCCCAGATTTGCATCGTCCTGCGGCGTCTGAGATTGCACCTTCTCCGGTTCCGGGATCGTCGCTGCCTTTTTGTTCTTCGCGACTTCCACGACAGGGTCCTCGCACTCGTCACCGCCATGGCCTATGACTTCGGGAACTGTGCGCACGAAGCTCACGGTGAAGCCCTTCTTGCGCGTGCCCGTCTTCAGACCGCCGGGCCCTGGGCTCTTTCCGGCAGCAGCTGCGCTGTTCAGGATCGTCTGTGCGCCGGGCCATCGCTGGGCGCTCGCAACGTCTATGCGGGGTCGGAGGAAAGCTGAGGCGGCGGCAGCGGCGTCCTTTTGCTGCTGGGCGGCGCGGTCGGTCGAGGGCTTGAGGAAGTCGTTGATTTCGTGGTCGTCCGAGGGCGGCTTCGTCTTCTGCTTTTCGGCGAGTTCGTTGGTCTTTTCGAAAATCTTGGTCTTCCAGCGGCTCTTGGAGAAGAGCTTACTCCCGGCATCCTGTGCGTCCACCATGGTGCTGCCCGCAGACCAAGACTGGTGCTATCACTGGTGGTGGGAGGGGTCGTGGGTGGTGGAAATGCACGCCGTGAATGGCGGGTGAGGCGCGTCGGGGTGATCGCGTGCCTGGCGTCGAGGCTGCGTGTGTCGTGTTTGCCGTCCCTTGGGCTCAATTGACTATTGGCGGCGGCGACGGGCTGGCCAAAGTGTTCCGAGAGTCTGTCACTTCTCTAACAGGGTCCGGCCACATGAAACTGCCTGATGCGAAGAACCAATGCCGCCGTCAGGTATATACAGGTGAAAAGAAAGGCAGATGGGAGGGAAGCCACGAAATGCAGACCAAGCCAGGACCCAACAACGTCGTGGAACCGCCGCTGTAGTTGCGGAGTAGTTTATCAGCTAAATTGCCCAGGGTCGAAGCTAATTGCGCGCCGCCCGCTTATCGTTGCAAGCCTGCAGCGGTATCCTAAACTCCTTTTGCCTCTGCTGCCTCGGGCTTTCTCTACACGAGCAAGATTTGCGTAAAGCCGTACAGCGAAATTGCGATTCTGCGTCGCTTGACGGCTACGGCTATGCTTGGAAACGGCCGTCTGCAGATGTCTCGTGTTCACAGCGCCAACGTCGACACACCCCACATTCAGCCCACCAGATCCCGTCTGTGCGCCGCGCACTCGGTCCTACATTCACCCAGTTACTACATGCGGTCGTATATAATTCCCTTGGCGGCAGCGCCTGCAGTCTGTGTGCGGCTCAAATATTGACCTTGTTGTATCCGGCGCATCGACAATGACTTTTCGATGTGTCTTTCCATTGTCACCTCACCACCAGCACTGCCCTGCTATGCCCAACGTCTTACTCTATGTACGTAGATCCTGGCCCCAGCTTGTCAAGATCGTCATGACGTGCGTGGCATGTGTTTCACTCTCCTCTTCATGTGCGCACCTCGACGACCCCCTGAAGAACATGGCGACAACAACAGCAGACTTCAACTGCTCAACGATACCTCGCTTGCAAGGCTATTGAGTGTCTCCCAAAGGGGAAGACCACAGGATGGGCTATGCCCGAAACAACACTGGAGTTGATAAGGCGCGACAGGGGTAGCGGTTGCTTAGCGTACCGCAAGCCTCGGCTGTGCCACCTGGCCGACGTCTAAATATACTCGGAACGGAAGCCTTGACGTTCCGCTTTCACGAACGAACAACACAACACGGCCACAAGAATTTCGAGGCGAAAGGATTGTGCCTTTGGCAGCGCCTCAAGACAACGCTTCGAATACTTCTCTCTGGAGCGCGTCTCGCGATGCAACACGAACAACCGGTGCTTACTTCAGACGCTAGCGGCCTTGGTCGTCCGCTATTGGCCACATGGCCTTTACCGATATGCAGTGGTGCGCCGACATGGTAGGATTAAGATGAGCGCTCATCTACTAAACTATAAGCCGTTGGTGGCGCAACCCATAAGCAGTAACCACCAAACATCCCAGGAGGAAACTTGCAAATTCGGTAGACCTGTAGTGAACGGTTCTACACCTGGGCAGCATATATTCGTTGGCTGCTAGGGCAAGATGCAAGAAGAAGGAATTGTCCATCTTCATTTCCATCAGCACATCTCTCCGCTTCCATGCTTCCATGCTTCCACCGAGCATCATGAGAGCCGGTGTTGGCCGATGGATGAATAAAGTATACAGTAGACTTCCGACGAACGGTCTTCAGAGCCGCAAGTGGGGCAGAGCCATGCGCCAATGACGAAGAGAGCCCCATACTATCGTCATCGCATCGGCACTCTGAAGGCCACCCCTCAGTACAGTACCCCGCGAAACTTCATCTTCCCCTCATCTCCATAGCTTCTGCCGTCTCTTCCATTGCATCACAAAATGTCGTCTCAAGCCAGCTCCGAGCCACTCCAAACATACGAAATCTCCGATTTCAAGTTCCACAATGGCACCACACTGCCGAAACTCAAGTTGGCCTACAAGATCCTCAACCCACACAACAGCAAGATAGCGGTCGTACACACGTGCTTCAAAGGTCGTCTCGACACCACGTTGACACACGCCAATGCCGCCCTGAAGAACCACAAGATCATTCTCATTGCTCTTCTCGGCAATGGCGAATCTTCTAGCCCTTCAAACACGCCCGACTTCCCCAGTACCCTTGAGTACATGGACTGTATCAGCGCTCAGTACTCTCTTCTTACCCAAGAGCTCGGTATCAAAGAGGTAGATGTCATGCTAGGATTTTCGATGGGCGGCCAGATCACCTACCACTGGGTAACAACGCACCCTGATTTCATCAAGCACGCCGTAATCGTGTGCTCCTCTGCGAGAACAAGCAAGCACAACTTCCAATTCCTCGAAGGACCCAAGGCTGCACTGGAAAGCGCAAAGAGTCCCGAGAGGGGTATCAGGGCCTTTGGAAAGGCGTATTCAGCGTGGCTGACAAGCGCCGAATGGTTCGATCAAGAATGCTACAAAGAGATGGGCTTCCAGCAACTGCGAGACTGGGATGATGTGGCTACTATTCAGGGTTACGAAGGTTGGACAGGTGACGATCTTCTGGTAATGCTGGGTATGTGGCAGCGCGGAGACATCACTCGGTGCACCAACGCGGAGGATCTAGAGTCAGCACTCAAGAGCATCAAGGCAAAGGTTCTGCTCATGCCGTGCGAGTACGATCAGTACTTCCGTCCTTATGTCAGCGAGAAGGAAGCTAAGAGCCTGGAGAATGCGACGGTGGAGATTGTACCTAGTATCTGGGGACATATTGCGGGCGGCGGGGCGAACCCGAAGGATGTGGATTGGATGGATCATCGGATCAAGCTTTTCTTACGAGGCTTGGTATGATGTTACAGAGAACTATCGAATTTGGGCGTATGTATTTTCCCATGTCAGATGTCAAAGTCGTGGAAGGTTGTCAGCAAGGAATAACCTACGCATGTCAGTAACATCAAAAGTAATTTCGAACAAACTTCAAAAGTGAACCCAACAAATGTGCATCTCATATTGACCGAAATTACTACTGTAATCCATTCGGCCCAATTTTCGCATCTGCTCATGTTCTGACAACCCCGAACATGCAGCAACAGCATTCGCGTTTCAGCATTCCCGCAAACCATTCACGTGAGGTTTGTCACCGGGCGCCAAGCTCTTACACCCGCTGCCTCACCTCCACCCAGGCACGCTTCAACGTTCTCGAAGCCCGCCCAGCATCTCCGTGCGCAAATCCTCCACAAATTCTCTAAAGCACTTTCCGTGAAATCTTCAAACCCATCAAAAACCCTTCTTCAGCATCCACAATCATGATAACATCGCCCACTTCCTCGTCGGCGTCAGACCACAACACCTCCGATGCCGCACCTGCAGCGACTCGCGGCAACGGCCGTAAGTCACGCGTTTCAGCGGAGCACACGTTGAACCGCGTGCGCGAGAACCAAAGGAGACACCGCGCTCGACAGCGCGACCATGTCGCTTCCCTCGAGCAAAAGCTCGCCGAGACTGAAAAGTTGCTTGAAGAGGCGCGAGCGGAAATCGCCGCTTTGAAAGCTGGGGTGTGCGAACAGCAACGACAAGGCCAACAACAACAGAACACCAGTAACGATGATGTTGGAGAAGAAGGAGCAAGATATATAGGAGAAGGCAGCGCGCCTGTACCTCGAGATATACCCAGACCACCCGTTTCCGCTATATCCGATCAGCAAACCGATTCGCTAGCACTCACATCCATCCAACCAGATCGGCTCATCGACCCGCAACTAGACAGCTACCCTGATGTCCACGGGCATGTCCCAGACATGAGCGACCTTTCCTTCCTGGGCGGATCATCTTTCTACCTGCCGTCGCCATCGTCTACACAGTCGAATGCTTCGCTACTATCGCCAACTTCAATTTCAACCTCAACGTCAACACAAGCCCCATCCCTCAACACCCACCTCACAGTAACCAACACAACAACCCTAACGATAACCGGTCCCCCACCCTGCTGCAACGACCCCCCAACTCCAACTCCAACCTCACCACCTCCAACAAACACCTTAGAATGTACATCCTGCTCCACGAAACCTCCCCCGTCCCCCAGTGAAAGCACGACGCTCTGCGCCCAGGCCTTCGTCATGATCGGGCAGCAGAACTTCCGCAACCTCGATCCGGATACGATTAGGCTTTGGTTGGCGCAGGGGTTGCGGAGGGCGCAGAGGGAGGGCGAGGGATGTAGAGTTGAGAATGGTGCGTTGTTGAGGTTGTTGGATTTTATTAGTGGGTTGTAGGATATGGAAGATAGGAGGAAGTGGACTTGAGGGGAGTGTGGGGTATCTTGTTGGGTTTGTTTGGGAAGGCGTACAGGGATAGGCGTACGGTGTCTTACACATTGTCTTTAACGGATCTGCGAGAAGATTCGCATTGGGGAAGGTGGAGACTCAACGAAGTTATATACCGTGGATATTGGCAACGGGCAACTACATTTCTTTACCGCAATACATGTACGCATATTCATTCATCTCACTCGATTTGTCATACAAGGTAACATGTGAACAGGAGAAATCGTAGACATTTCATTACCTAAACGCTATGCAGAGAAAAAGAGAAAGTTCCCGTATAGTCATACAAAATATGTGTGTGGAATGATCGCGAAATCATGCTTCATCGTCAATCTTGGCACGAGCATGCATGAGAACCCGGATGCCATCAGAGGAACTGCTTCTAACGTCCCATCCTGATGACACCAGCGTGCACCAGCTTCTGAATCTTGGAGCGGATGCTGGGGTTCTTGAGATGCTCTTGCAGCGCCGCGGGGTCGTCCTTGGCCTGCTGAAGGATAGCTTGCATGACGGGGTCTTGGAGGATGCCGACGATCTGAGTGTGTGTTAGTAGAGTTGACATATGTAAGGTGTGAAGTGACATACCTCTGGATCCCGCTGGATACGCTCCATGGTTTGTTGTTCAGTCTCGCCCTCGCGTGCCGAGTACTGTGCTTGCAGAGCCTTGGCCTCTTGTTGCTGAATCTCACGTGCATTCTTGCCGT